GTTCAACCACAAATCTTCTGAAGGTTTTAATTTTTAAAATAATCTGAGTATGATTAAATGTATGATTTGCATTTGTCACCCCTATATGAACTCAACAAATTGGACATAATAATTACAAGGAGTATTATGGATAACAACCTTTACATTTTACAAACACATCTTCAGTGCCGCATCTTAACTCATCTCCATGTGAATGATTGGGAATACATATTAGTTGTTGTGTGGTGAAAGGTAATGTTACGTACAATGGATTATTCCAGTGTTTGCGGAATCTATAGAAAGAGTTCATAGAGCAGAACGTAAAGCGTATGTATTCTGTTTAACATTAACTGGGAAAAACTAAGAAACTGATGGTTGCACAGATGTGAATAGCGTCTCAGAGGTTGAACTTGATCCAGTGACTTAGTCAAGGTTGCTGGGAGTGTTGTTGAAATGTTCTGAAAGACCTGACCTCAAGTCGGCCTTCTAGATGGAGGGCCTGTATCCTAATCGTTCTACATGGCGTATGTCGACAGGTTTCAGTCATGTATGACTGTCCACAACATTTGCAATGTAGTCCATTCACTGTCAAAGATACGATAAGGCTATGATAGTTCAATGGACTTCTCTGTGATTGTGGAATGGGTTCTTTTTTCACTTTTACTTAGAGTGTTCAAATAATAAACACTGCTTCTAGCGTGTGGGGACTCCCGGTTTCCCATTGGTTCCACGTAACCAAGACGACTTAATGGATCACATGGTCAGAGTCAGTGACCTGCTTGATGACATTTAGCAAGGGCGAGCTGGCTAAGGCGCCTGGCTACTGATCTAGCGAGCTTGAGGTGCCGGAATCGAGCCCATGTAAAGGGTGCAAAAACCCTGAAAACAACTTTGTGTGCAAATTCTTTTAGTGTTGTTACAATCCCTAGTGTACAGTACACAACCCTGTGCACTTACAAGAACATACGAATCCGTCAGTAAATGACCAGATGGTAGCCAGATGTAAACGTGCAAACACCTAGTTGCGGGTAGAGCAACGTGCAGTAAACGTGGACAAAGTTCTGTGACTATGTGTCCAAGTCCACCTAGCTGTGAATGGGCACACACACACACACACACACACACACACTCAGAGAGAGAGAGAGAGAGAGAGAGAGAGAGAGAGAGAGAGAGAGAGACAGAGAGCGAGAAACCAATAACCAAAGACACACAGTCACACACACGGAGACACACACGGACACACACACACAAACAAAATTACATGAAGACACACACGCAAAGACCCGCACGCAAAAAAACACTCAAACACACACGCGCGCACGCGCGCGCCAATCCACACAGAGGGACGCACACACAAATCTGATCGGAAGTCCTGGAGAAAAGTTAACATTTCATTTTGTACATGACACACTCCTTACTCAATTAACGTGATCAAGATAATCACTGGAATGTAGAGATTTGTGTATATGTCTGTGTGCGTGTTAGAACATTCTGTTTATAAAACAAGGTCAAACGTTCTGCAAATCTTCGCAGATAAAACTACATGAGATGTAACTACATCATAATCCGCCACAGCAGCGAGTCACTTTTACAGTGAAACGTGGTTTTTAAGGGGAATCGTTTGACAAGCTCCTGACACACCAATTTGATAATATTGACGAACGTGACCTTCATCGTATCCAAGTTAGCCGCAGGATTGAAAAGCTGGACGTTCGGAGCAGTATTTACGAAATATAGTCACGCTCTTATCGTAGTGTTGTAATCTGTCGTAGCACCTAGCCGTATGGCACTAGTAAGTCAAATTTGAGACACAGCAGAATATACTAATTATGAAAGATACTAACTCGCAGTTACAAGTCAAGAAGAAATTCTGAAATTTAACGCCAATTATCGTTTCTCAACTGATCAGATTGCCGCAAAAAAAGATTGGCCCTGTGCCATGAACATGTTTTGTTTCTTGTTGCCGATTACATGTAAAAGACATCGGTTCATACAAGGACCCTGACTTCCCTCTGCATGTCCAGAAACAGGCACTCAAGGGATGAATTTTTCCGCGTGTAAGTGTAATTTTTTAGGGAACAGTGTTGTAATTGTATTAATTATTTCCGTTAAGATCCACTGGAAGAGAGTTCATGAAAACTCGGCACACGTGCTCCAGGAACTATACGAATCTCACAATCGAATCGAGACTTCTTTTGATTGTGGAAAAGGTTTAGTAACCTTATCTATTTCCAAAACAAAATTTGATAAAACGGTAAATGACAATATTTATTCAATCCATATACCTTTACATGTGATATTTCCTTAATGGCTTAGCGTTTCTCCGACAGGCATTGCCTTTCTCCACCCAGCCTGTAGCTTGGCACTAAGCTCCTTCCTGATGTTAGCATAGGTAGCATTCAATGCTTGATTGTAGTTTTCCTGTGGATCCACGGTATGATCGTAAAGCTCTGCAGCAACCAACTTATTCCAGTGGGTAACGAACTTCTTACCACCAGTAAACTTGACCCATTCTGTGTAACGATATGAGTCTGTTCTCATGGTATAACCCATCACAGCTTTGCCCGTCAGAGGATCGCCATCTCTGTGATACTGGGAGAAGGCTGCAGTCTTCAATGTCGCATTTGGATTCTTTACAAGAGGCATCAGACTGAGTCCTTCTGTACACAGGGTAACATTTTGCGAATTGTCAGGACATGTCTCGATTTTAGGAAGTTCTGCAGCTTCAGCAAGTGTTGGAAAGAGGTCCACAAATTCCGTGAACTGTTCTGTGACGATCCCCTGGTCGGTGAGTCCTGGGATGTGAATCATCATGGGAGCATGGGTAGCATCCTCAAAGTTTGTTTGCTTCTCCCATTCACTATGTTCCCCAAGCTGCCACCCATGGTCTCCCCAGAAGGATATGATAGTGTTGTCTGACAGGCCAAGATTGTCAAGCTCAGCTATTACTCTGCCAAGTTCGTAGTCTGTGAAACTCATACAGCTGTAGTATGCCCTTCTTAACTCTAGGGTAACGTTATGCGGAAAGGTAAAGTTGATATTTCCAACGTCTTTTAACCCGAGCGACTTAATGTTCTTGTATCGACCCATGTTAGTGAAGTTGTGCCAAGCAACTGTTGGCATTCCCACTGGTGCAAAATAATTAGGAGGAGGTCTTATATTCTCAAGAGGGTAATAGTCCATAAAACGAGCTGGAAAATTCCAGGGAAGATGAGGCCTGTGAAGTCCTACCGCCACAAAGAAAGGCTGCTCACCTGACTTAGCTTTCGGCGCCACATCTTGCAGAACCTTTATTGCATTGTCAGCCAGCAGGGTGTCTTGAAGAGGTTGCTGTGCTTCTCTTTCCTCAGACACAGCTTGCCAAATAAGATGATCTCTAGCATACTTATCGGGTGCATGAAAATACGGGTCTGTCCATGACACAGGATCATCATTACCCGAAGACTTCCCTGGATGGAACACCTTCCCCATCCCTATTGTCCTGTAGCCGTTCTGCTTGAAGTACTCTGGCAGAGTGGTAAAGTTTCCTCCATATTTCCTGAAGTAAGGGCCGATGGCGTAGATGTGGCTTGTATCGGGTCTCCTACTCGTAAGAAGGGCTGTTCTGCTTGGATTGCAAAGTGCTTGGGAAACATAGGCTCTCTTGAGGAGCAGACTTGTCTTGGCTAAAGCATCAAGAGTAGGTGTCTGCATTGTTGGATAGACAGGCGAAGGGAAGTCAGGACCAAGATATGCCCCAAGGTTTGGCCGCATATCATCCGAAACGAGAAACAGAACATTTTTCCTGGCAAGCACCGCAGGAAGAAGGAGAAGCGCAAGCCACTGCATCGTTGGCATGGAAATCGGAATGGTAAAACCAAGCCCTAGAGGATTTGTTTTATACTGATAGGATCTGGTGCATTTAGGAACCTAGACATTCCATTTGTATCTCAGTCACGATACACATTTATAGAATTGAATGACGTTGGTATTAGCGACAAATATGTGGTTATCACCAGCAGATAGGCTTGCTTGGAATTTTGTCTGAAAGGCCAAATGAGCGAATGGCACACATGTACATTCTCAGACCTGGTTATATATTGCTGTGTAAAAGATTAGGCCTCAGCATTTCTGATAACAAAAGACAGAAGTCCTTTTTCACACGCAATACAGTAAGAATGTAATTCTTAGAATACCATCAAATAGAAGGTTCAACCACAAATCTTCTGAAGGTTTTAATTTGTAAAATAGTCTGAGAATGATAAAATATATGATTTGCATCTCTCACCCCTATATGAACTCAACAAATTGGACATAATAATTACAAGGAGTATTATGGATAACAACCTTTACATTTTACAAACACATCTTTAATGCCGAATCTTAACACATCTCCATGTGAATGATGGGGAATATATATTAGTTGTTGTGTGGTGAAAGGTAATGTCACGTACAATGGATTATTCCAGTGTTTGCGGAATCTATAGAAAGAGTTCATAGAGCAGAACGTAAAGCGTATGTATTCTGTTTAACATTAACTGGGAAAAACTAAGAAACTGATGGTTGCACAGATGTGAATAGCGTCTCAGAGGTTGAACTTGATCCAGTGACTTAGTTAAGGTGGCTGGGAGTGTTGTTGAAATGTTCTGAAAGACCTGGCCCCGATTTCTCGAAACAAACTTAAGTCTGTTTTCAGACTTAAGTCTGAGTTTTTACTCAAATTTGAGAAAACTCAGCAAAATGCATTTCTCAAACAAAACTGAGTTCGATTTTGGACTCAAACTGAGTTGACAATTTGAGTTTGGTAGGGAGGTGATTTAAGTTTTTTGGTGATCACAAAATGGCGATGATAAATAGACGTAGACGCCGTAGAGTGAAACGTAAATCCACTTTGAGTAGATCATTAGTTGACAGACAGAACCCTCTCGAGGTTATGTCACAAGAGGAGCTCTTTCTGCGGTTCCGGTTCCGTGCTGAGAGTATTTTATTTATTGTTTCACTTGTTTGCGGGAAACTCGAACGGTGTTCAATCCGAAGCAACCCACTACCTGTCTTAACGCAAGTTCTAGTCACTCTGCGTTTCTTGGCCACTGGGTCTTTTTATTCATTAATCGCCGATACGTATGCGACCATCTCCACCTCATCTGTGTTTCGGTCAGTCAGGGATGTATGCTCTTGTCTCATTGAACATCTCCGGCATTTCATACGTATGCCAAGCGGACAAGATGCCGACATGACCAAGAAACAGTTCTTTCAAATTGCAGGTGAGTGTATTTGATTGCTTTTACCTTCCTTTCGTAGCAAAGCTCATTCTAGGTCAAATAAAGGGGGGCTACTCTCAATCTTGTCATTTCTAGTTCCGATGAACCGATATGTAATCATGCATAAATGAAGAGACTCGTATTAAAAATTCCCGTAAGACCCACTGACATAACGATATTGCCAATGTCGGAAAAAATTAAACTTTACAGACATATCCCATACGATATGATAAAAATATATTTTTATAAACTTGAAAAGAACCAGAAATATTCCTTGATGTACTGTTTAAAAAACACCCAAAACTTAATGATACAATAATGTCTATATAATAATTGTATAATATATGAATTTATCAAAAAAATGTGAATTATGGAAAATGTACTTTTCAGGATTCCCCAATGTTCTGGGATGTGTGGATGGAACATTCATCCGTTTAATGGCACCATCTGAGAATGAAGCAGACTATTTGAACAGGAAAGGCTTTCATTCACTCAATGTTCAGGTAATATGTTTATGTTAACTAATAACCACTTTTCTCATGTACAAGGCATGAAATTACTTTCAGCATTAAAAAAAACATATTTCATTACCTATGCTGTTACCACCAAAATGTAGATTATCACCATATCAATTCTTCTTAAGTCAAATTTGAATTTTGCCCTATTCCTCACCACACTGGTAGAATGTGTGAAGCTCAATTCTGTTGTCCCCTGCCATGATATTGCTCGAATATTGCTAAAAAGCGCTGGCATAAAACTAAACTCCGTCACTTTTATGCTCAAATGTAAATCCAAAACAGTCAAGACCAATTACCTACTGATTTCAAATAATAATTGTTATATTAAGCTGACATAGTATTTCAATCACTTTTCAGATGATATGTGATGCGAGATACAAATTCATCAACTGTGTTGCAAAGTGGCCAGGGAGTGTCCATGATAGTCACATCTTCAGAGACAGCAGAATCAGCATTGCGTTTGAAAATGGTATAACTTCATAGAGCAACTGTAATAACATAACTTCCACTGTATAAACAAACAAAATACCAAATGACACTGTTTGAAGAACACAGTTTATTTAATAATTCTTGAAGACTTTTTTTCAAACAAAATATTAATTGTGGTTCTGTTCTTCTGAATTAATAGTAGGTACATTTTATATATGAACATAGCTTTTTACTGAAGATGAGGTACAATATTAGGTACATCATATGAAGTAGTAAGGTGTATGACTTGGGATGCCATGACACATTGATACATCAATGCATCGATACTTTTTCTAAGGCAATACAATTATCGATACATTGACAATTGTATTGATATTTATGTTTAAAAATATTGGTTTAAATATTATAAATATTTACATTTATCAATTGTATCATGTTTTTTGATGTTATGAGGGTTATAAAAGATTATATTTCATGCACATAGATGGGAAATTAGAACTTATTATCTCTAAGAATCAAACATGTTGATCTTTTCATGGACAATATTTCAACATTAATGTTCAAAATGTTACCAAATTTAAGCAATAATGCCGCGAAAATGGGTATTGTATTGTGTATTGAATCATGACATGGGTATCAGGTTACATATCGATTCATGAAACTTATGTATCATGACATCCCTATGTAAGACATCGTTTCCATTTACTTACTATATTTAACAAAAAGAAGACCTGTCATACACTTGGTATGTTTTATATGATAAAATGGTAGAAGCTTAGTTATGTTTCCTAATAGTGTTGGGCATTGGTTAGAATCTCTTAACTGATGATTGGTTCATTACAACCAATCAATTATCGAAAATATTTGGTTAACGTCATTATTCAAATTTTCCTGGATATGTTTGTTAATGCACAAAAAATAGAGTAGAAAACGTGTAGTTCTTATACATTTTTTAACTAATTGCACAAAACTTGTATGTTAGGAACATAATTTTTCTTGAGTTTTTATAATAAATTCAGTCATGACTTGAAACGAGCTGGAAGTGCTTATGAAATGTAACAGACACAACCAACCTTGTAAAAAATAATGTTAATGCAAACAAATGTTCCAAAATTGTTAATGTTTGATTATGAGAAAACATCGATTGCTTGGTCGTTTAGTCATTGCGACCAATATTTGATTATTTCAATTAATCGGACCACCACTATTTTTACTTAATTATATTCTTCCAGCTCTAAATACTAAGCTTTACTCTCAGTCTTACCTACAGTAATAATAACACTGCATGCTCACAACACTCTTTGCTCCAGCCCTCGGCCATTTCAATTTTTACACTGATAGGCTAAGCTTGCCACAGTTTAACTACCGGTACAATGTTAAAGATTGTAAACTCACTTGCTCTCTCTTACTTCAGAAGGAAATATTAATAGCCGTAGGATATCTTTTTTTATTTTCATATATTTCATGTTTGCAAATTTACATAGGAATGTCAACAGAACCATCCACACAGATTGTGATTTGTTATATGTTATAGGTACCTACAAGGGATTACTGTTGGGAGACTCAGGATATCAATGCAAGTCCTACTTGATGACACCATTCCTAACCACATCATCCCATGCTGAAGAGAAATATAACAGAAGTCACAGTAGAACCAGAGTTTTGATTGAGCAGAGTTTTGGAATTTTGAAAAGGAGATTTTCTTGTTTACATAGAGGATTAAGGACAACACCTCAAAATGCCTGCAAAATAGTAACTGCTTGTGTCATTCTACATAATATTGGCATTGATAGAAAAGATATAATAGATGTTGAACAGGTTGATATTGAGACCAATCAAAATGTCAGTGTCCATATAGCTGATGACTGGACAGGTAACAATGTTCGAAAACACTTGTGTCAGCAGTGTTTTAGTTAGATATTCCATTACAGCTTAAACAATATATCTCATGAGAACATTCTGTGTTGAACATATTTGGTCAAGTAATGAATAGAAATGTACATTATCAGAAAATAACTTAAGACAGATTATCTGCCTTGATTAACAATTACGTGTATGAATATTAGTCATCAAAACATCATTCTATGCAGTAAAGAGAAAATTTCATCCATAAAGTTGTATGTTTCATTTTTGGCACCCCTAACAATTATTCTTCACTAATACGGTTCTGTTTTCTTAGTATTTCCATTTCTAATTTCAGCTTTTCGTGTTCTAATTTAATCAATGCTACCTTTGCCCTGAAAAATTCTGCTTCTTCTTTTAATTTAACAATTTCACATTTAAATTTGGATTCCTCTGCCTGTAGGGTTAGTATTTCCTGCTGTTGCAGCTTTAGTTTCTTTTTGGGCGGAAGATTGGAATTGTTAGTGGCATTTGCTGTTGCAGTTGTAGCTGTAGATGTAGTTGCAATAGGAGTAGCAGTAGTAGTAGTGGTAACAGTGGTTGATTTTGGAGTACCAGCGGCGATAGTTGGGATCTGCAGTATTCCTTCCTCCATGACAAGGAAATTTATTGCACTTTGAAGAACTGTTATATAAATAATTGTCAACAGTTATTATTGTAAAGAATTGCTATAGAATAGCATATCAGTTATGCCAGATTATAATCATATAAATCACAATATAAATTTAGAAATGAGACAATAAGTCAAATATATATTTTTTTTAGTATCTCTTCATAGGACAGTTCCATTTCATTTATAAATGTTAAAAGTGGTTACAATAGATTTCTATATATATATTTTTTTATGTAAATAGTCATCTGTTTGTCAGATAATACAGTAGTTATTGGGAGATGAATAGTCCCATTTTATTATTATTGCAAAGTCTGATTGGTCAGTATGTCATGGTTAAAGAGACAATTATCTTTTAGTACATTAACATGTAATGGTACGATAAAAATGTGTCCCACATTTTACAGTTTATTTTAATGGATAAAGTATAAGAATGGTATATAAGTGTGGACAAACCATGCTCATTAGTATCAGTGAAGTCCATGGACACACTTGGTTCTTCCTCCGAAACACAAGGAATTACATCAAAATCTGAAAATACATTCATGAGGAAAGTGAAACAGTATTTTTGAATGCACTTATCTGAGGTGTGCTGTGCTATTCATTGTCAGCGTTATGGGCATACCTTATGTGGAGTTTGGAGCTACATATAAATGAACATTATTATTACTACTATTAATATTATGATGAAATGGCATTTACAGTAGGAAAATGTGATGAAGCTAAATTGCTAAATAAAGCATTGTTAATGTTTTATGTTTCCAAATAACACCTTGTTAATATACAAACTGGCTTATATTTTTACAGTTTTTTGTGCTGCTAAAGTATGAAAAAAACTTTGGTCAAGAAAGTGTTCTGTTCCAATAGTAACATTGCCTGGTCACATATAGTCATATCTGAGGGAAAATTGCAGTTTTTAACTGTTGAATAATGTGAAATTAGGAACAATGTTTCCTCATGTAATATGTAGATTTAGTGATGTTTTTGTGTTATTTCATACACTCTTTATGAATATTTTATGTGAATCAATGCAATTAAGAAATACAAATTATTGCTCTATTTTGAGTTATGTGTTTATGTGTTGTTAAAACTACACAAAATGCAGCAAATACCATTTTTATAGCCCAAAGTCAGTTGAAATAAGTTATACCTTCAGTGTCTATGCCTCCTGCTAGACCACTCAGAGTTGCCCTTCCCCCCATAGTCTCCAGGATGGCAGCTTCTGGCATTGTTGGGGAAGCTGGTTTGGGCCCTCCTCCTGTTTTGGGTCGACGGCTGGCATCATTCTTTTCTTTTGCTGAAAATATTTTGCAAGGTATTGATAAAGATATTAAATTTTAATCATTTCGGTTTACATTACATGTATAAAAAATATTTCTAACAGAATTAATTTGTGACATTAATGTCATTATAATCATCAAATAGGCTTGAAAATGTTTATTTAAATATCTAAGCAACTTCATAAAGAAAATGTATAATGATATACCTCTTTGCTTCAAGTTCGCATACTGTTTCTTCCCTTCCTCTACCGTCCGTTTAATTTGACTCGATTTCCTATTGTAAAAACAAACGTGAGACTGATTATACATGTATATACATGTTGGCACGGTACTGCATGGTCACACCCACTCGTCGATACCACAGTCTGGATTCGTAAAAAATATTTCATGCTTATGAATTTGGTACAACTACTTTTCACAGTAGATTTTTAACAAATCTATACTGTGGTATTATTTACCAGACAAAAAAAATACATTAGGAATAAGCACAAATCTGCAAAACTTTGAGTAACGTGACCCAATATTAACGTGGGCCAAAAGCTTGCAGTCATAATGTACGGGGCAAGTAACTCTAATTCGGCACTCTGCTGACCTAATTTTTCACCTTCAGTTTTTGCACAGGTGTCAGATACATCCATGCACGATTACGTTGTTTATGGTTATATTTATCATATTCTTTTCATGGGAATTTAGTTACGGGTGCATTCAACGAAAAGTAACTTACGCATTTAGCGCCGCCATTGCCTCTTCCCATGCCTCTTCCTTCATCGCCGCCCCCCTCTTCCCTCCACACCCCCTAAATTTGCCGAACAACCGTTCCTCCCTCCTCCGCACCTCATCAACTAACGTAAGCCGCTCCTCCTCGGTCCAGTTCGGCCTACGTTTCGGTTCCATCCCGCTGGTAGTCATTCTCAACATTATTTGCCGTTATCCTATCGGTAGACAACTTCGCTAGCAGACGACTTCTACCGTGTTTACATTAGAAACGGAAGTTGATTTCCGCGCCATGGCCGCTTCAACCACGTATAAAAAATAATCTCAGATCGATCTCAAATTCTGAGTTATAAACTCGGCTGAGTTTTGACTGAGTTTGCTTTGAGAAACGCAACTGAGTAAGAAACTCAGCTGAGTCAAAATCTCAAACTCAGTTTGTAATTTGAGTAAAAACTTAAGTTTGTTTCGAGAAATCGGGGCCTGACCTCAAGTCGGCCTTCTAGATGGAGGGCCTGTATCCTTATCGTTCTACAGGGCGTATGTCGACAGGTTTCAGTCATGTATGACTGTCCACAACATTTGCAATGTAGTCCATTCACTGTCAAAGATACGATAAGGCTATGATAGTTCAATGGACTTCTCTGTGATTGTGGAATGGGTTCTTTTTTCACTTTTATTTAGAGTGTTCAAATAATAAACACTGCTTCTAGCGTGTGGGGACTCCCGGTTTCCCATTGGTTCCAAGTAATCTAGACGACTTAATGGATCACATGGTCAGAGTCAGTGACCTGCTTGATGACATTTAGCAAGGGCGAACTGGCTAAGGCGCCTGGCTACTGATCTAGCGAGCTTGAGGTGCCGGAATCGAGCCCATGTAAAGGGTGTAAAAAACCCTGGAGACAACTTTGTGTGTAAATTCTGTCAGTGTTGTTACAATCCCTAGTGTACAGTACACAACCCTGTGCACTTACAAGAACATACGAATCCGTCAGTAAATGACCAGATGGTAGCCACATGTAAACGTGCAAACACCTAGTTGCGGGTAGAGCAACGTGCAGTAAACTTGGACAAAGTACTGTGACTATGTGTCCAAGTCCACCTAGCTGTGAATGGGCACACACACACACACACACACACACACAGGGAGAGAAAGAAAGACCAATAACCAAAGTCACACAGTCACACACACGGAGACACACACACACACACAAACAAAAATACATGAAGACACACACGTGCGCACGCGCGCGCCAATCCACGCAGAGGGACGCACACACAAATCTGATCGGAAGTCCTGGAGAAAAGTTAACATTTCATTTTGTACATGACACACTCCTTACTCAATTAACGTAATCAAGATAATCACTGGAATGTAGAGATTTGTGTATATGTCTGTGTGCGTGTTAGAACATTCTGTTTATAAAATAAGGTCAAACGTTCTGCAAATCTTCGCAGATAAAACTACATGAGATGTAACTACATCATAATCCGCCACAGCAGTGAGTCACTTTTACAGTGAAACGTGGTTTTAAGGGGAATCGTTCGACAAGCTCCTGGCACACCAATTTGCATAATATTGACGAACGTGACCTTCATCGTATACATGTCAGCCGCAGGATTGAAAAGCTGGACGTTCGGAGCAGTATTTACGAAATATAGTCACGCTCTTATCGTAGTGTTGTTATGTGTCGTAGCACCTAGCCGTATGGCACTAGTAAGTCAAATTTGAGACACAGCAGAATATACTAATTATGAAAGATACTAACTCGCAGTTACAAGTCAAGAAGAAATTCTGAAATTTAACGCCAATTATCGTTTCTCAACTGATCAGATTGCCGCAAAAAAAGATTGGCCCTGTGCCATGAACATGTTTTGTTTCTTGTTGCCGATTACATGTAAAAGACATCGGTTCATACAAGGACCCTGACTTCCCTCTGCATGTCCAGAAACAGGCACTCAAGGGATGAATATTTCCGCGTGTAAGTGTAATTTTTTAGGGAACAGTGTTGTAATTGTATTAATTATTTCCGTTAAGATCCACTGGAAGACAGTTTAGGTTGAGTGAAGAGTAATCTGGAAGCTTCTAAAACAGCTACACCTTTCATCCGGTATTTAGATTATATAGACCAGCAGCTTTTTATGACCATGCAAAGATGGTTCCCAAAGTTATGGCCCGTAAGACTAGGTCCTTTGTTGCTGATGTTACATTTTGGTGTTTTTCTAAGGTGACAAATTGACTTGCCCTTACATGTGTTTATGACGTGTGCCATCAGTGGGGCAGGGCAGACTAAACTGTTCATGAAAACTCGGCATTATCACACGTGCTCCAGGAACTATACGAATCTCACAATCGAATCGAGACTTCTGTTGATTGTGGAAAAGGTTTAGTAACCTTATCTATTTCCAAAACAAAATTTGATAAAACGGTAAATGACAATATTTATTCAATCCATATACCTTTACATGTGATATTTCCTTAATGGCTTAGCGTTTCTCCGACAGGCATTGCCTTTCTCCATCCAGCCTGTAGCTTGGCACTAAGCTCCTTCCTGATGTTAGCATAGGTAGCATTCAATGCTTGATTGTAGTTTTCCTGTGGATCCACGGTATGATCGTAAAGCTCTGCAGCAACCAACTTATTCCAGTGGGTAACGAACTTCTTACCACCAGTAAACTTGACCCATTCTGTGTAACGATATGAGTCTGTTCTCATGGTATAACCCATCACAGCTTTGCCCGTCAGAGGGTCTCCATCATTTTCATTGGGATACTGGGAGAAGGCTGCAGTCTTCAATGTTGTATTTGGATTCTTCACAAGAGGCATCAGACTGAGTCCTTCTGTACACAGGGTAACATTTTGCGAATTTTCAGGACATGTCTCGATCTTAGGAAGTTCTGCAGCTTCAGCAAGAGTTGGAAAGAGATCCACAAATTCTGTTAACTGTTCTGTGACGATCCCCTGGTCGGTGAGTCCTGGGATGTGAATCATCATGGGAGCATGGGTAGCATCCTCAAAGTTTGTTTGCTTCTGCCATTCACTATGTTCCCCAAGCTGCCACCCATGGTCTCCCCAGAAGGATATGATAGTGTTGTCTGACAGGCCAAGATTGTCAAGCTCAACTATTACTCTGCCAAGTTCGTAGTCTATGAAACTCATACAGCTGTAGTATGCCCTTCTTAACTCTAGAGTAAGGTTATGCGGAAAGGTAAAATTGATATTTCCAATGTCTTTTAACCCGAGCGACTTAATGTCCTTGAATCGAACCAGTTTACTGAAGTTGTGCCAAGCAACTGTGGGCATCCCCACTGGTGCAAAATAATTAGGAGGAGGTCTAATATTCTCAAGAGGGTAATAGTCCATAAAACGAGCTGGAAAATTCCAGGGAAGATGAGGCCTGTGAAATCCTACTGCCACAAAGAAAGGTTGCTCACCTGACTTAGCTTTCGGGGCCACATCTTGCAGAACCTTTATTGCATTGTCAGCCAGCAGGGTGTCTTGAAGAGGTTGCTGTGCTTCTCTTTCCTCAGACACAGCTTCCCAACTGAGATGATCTATAACATAGTTATTAGGTGCATGAAAATACGGGTCTGTCCATGACACAGGATCATCATTACCCGAAGACGACCCTGGGTGGAACACCTTCCCCATCCCTATTGTCCTGTAGCCGTTCTGCTTGAAGTACTCTGGCAGAGTGGTAAAGTTTCCTCCATATTTCCTGAAGTAAGGGCCGATGGAGTAGATGTGGCTTGTATCGGGTCTCCTACTCGTAAGAAGGGCTGTTCTGCTTGGATTGCAAAGTGCTTGGGAAACATAGGCTCTCTTGAGGAGCAGACTCCGCTTGGCTAATGCATCAAGAGTAGGTGTCTGCATTGTTGGATAGACAGGCGAAGGGAAGTCAGGACCAAGATATGCCCCAAGGTTTGGCCGCATATCATCCGAAACGAGAAACAGAACATTTTTCCTGGCAAGCACCGCAGGAAGAAGGAGAAGCGCAAGCCACTGCATCGTTGGCATGGAAATCGGAATGGTATAACCAAGCCGTAGAGGATTTGTTTTATACTGATAGGATCTGGTGCATTTAGGAACCTAGACATTCCATTTTTATCTCAGTCACGATACACATTTACAGAACGGAATGACGTTTGCATTAGCGACAAATATGTGGTTATCACCAGCAGATAGGCTTGCTTGGAAGTTTGTCTGAAAGGCCAAATGAGCGAATGGCACACATGTACATTCTCAGACCTGGTTATATATTGTTATGTAAAAGATTAGGCCTTAGTACACCTGATAACAAAAGACAGAAGTCCTTTTTCACACGCAATACAGTAAGAATGTAATTCTTAGAATACCATCAAATAGTAGGTTCAACCACAAATCTTCTGAAGGTTTTAATTTTTAAAATAATCTGAGAATGATAAAATGTATGATTTGCATTTGTCACCCCTATATGAACTCAACAAATTGGACATAATAATTACAAGGAGTATTATGGATAACAACCTTTACATTTTACAAACACATCTTCAGTGCCGCAGTTTAACACATCTCCATGTGAATGATGGGGAATATATATTAGTTGTTGTGTGGTGAAAGGTAATGTTACGTACAATGGATTATTCCAGTGTTTGCGGAATCTATAGAAAGAGTTCATAGAGCAGAACGTAAAGCGTATGTATTCTGTTTAACATTAACTGGGAAAAACTAAGAAACTGATGGTTGCACAGATGTGAATAGCGTCTCAGAGGTTGAACTTGATCCAGTGACTTAGTTAAGGTGGCTGGGAGTGTTGTTGAAATGTTCTGAAAGACCTGACCTCAAGTCGGCCTTCTAGATGGAGGGCCTGTATCCTTATCGTTCTACAGGGCGTATGTCGACAGGTTTCAGTCATGTATGACTGTCCACAACATTTGCAATGTAGTCCATTCACTGTCAAAGATACGATAAGGCTATGATAGTTCAATGGACTTCTCTGTGATTGTGGAATGGGTTCTTTTTTCACTTTTATTCAGAGTGTTCAAATAATAAACACTGCTTCTAGCGTGTGGGGACTCCCGGTTTCCCATTGGTTCCAAGTAATCTAGACGACTTAATGGATCACATGGTCAGAGTCAGTGACCTGCTTGATGACATTTAGCAAAGGCGAACTGGCTAAGGCGCCTGGCTACTGATCTAGCGAGCTTGAGGTGCCGGAATCGAGCCCATGTAAAGGGTATAAAAACCCTGGAGACAATTTTGTGTGCAAATTCTGTCAGTGTTGTTACAATCCCTAGTGTACAGTACACAACCCTGTGCACTTACAAGAACATACGAATCCGTCAGTAAATGACCAGATGGTAGCCCCATGTAAACGTGCAAACACCTAGTTGCGGGTAGAGCAACGTGCAGTAAACTTGGACAAAGTACTGTGACTATGTGTCCAAGTCCACCTAGCTGTGAATGGGCACACACACACACACACACAGAGAGAGAGAGAGAGAGAGAGAGAGAGAGAGAGAGAGAGAGAGAGAGGAATAACCAAAGTCACACAGTCACACACACGGAGACACACACACAAACAAAAATACATGAAGACACACACGCAAAGACCCGCACGCAAGAAAACACTCACACACACACGCGCGCACGCGCGCGCCAAACCACGCAGAGGGACACACACACAAATCTGATCGGAAGTCCTGGAGAAAACGTGATCAAGATAATCACTGGAATGTAGAGATTTGCGTATATGTCTGTGTGCGTGTTAGAACATTCTGTTTATAAAATAAGGTCAAACGTTCTGCAAATCTTCGCAGGTAAAACTACATGAGATGTAACTACATCATAATCCGCCACAGCAGTGAGTCACTTTTACAGTGAAACGTGGTTTTTAAGGGGAATCGTTCGACAAGCTCCTGGCACACCAATTAGCATAATATTGACGAACGTGACCTTCATCGTATACATGTCAGCCGCAGGATTGAAAAGCTGGACGTTCGGAGCAGTATTTACGAAATAAAGTCACGCTCTTATCGTAGTGTTGTAATGTGTCGTAGCACCTAGCCATATGGCACTAGTAAGTCAAATTTGAGACACAGCAGAATATACTAATTATGAAAGATACTAACTCGCAGTTACAAGTCAAGAACAAATTCTGAAATTTAACGCCATTTATCGTTTCTCAACTGATCAGATTGCCGCAAAAAAAGATTGGCCCTGTGCCATGAACATGTTTTGTTTCTTGTTGCCGATTACATGTAAAAGACATCGGTTCATACAAGGACCCTGACTTCCCTCTGCATGTCCAGAAACAGGCACTCAAGGGATGAATTTTTCCGCGTGTAAGTGTAATTTTTTAGGGAACAGTGTTGTAATTGTATTAATTATTTCCGTTAAGATCCACTGGAAGACAGTTTAGGTTGAGTGAAGAGTAATCTGGAAGCTTCTAAAACAGCTACACCTTTCATCCGGTATTTAGATTATATAGACCAGCAGCTTTTTATGACCATGCAAAGATGGTTCCCGAAGATATGGCCCGTAAGACTAGGTCCTGTGTTGCTGATGTTACATTTTGGTGTTTTTCTAAGGTGACAAATTGACTTGCCCTTACATGTGTTTATGACGTGTGCCATCAGTGGGGCAGGGCAGACTAAACTGTTCATGAAAACTCGGCATTATCACACGTGCTCCAGGAACTATACGAATCTCACAATCGAATCGAGACTTCTTTTGGTTGTGGAAAAGGTTTAGTAACCTTATCTATTTCCAAAACAAAATTTGATAAAATGGTAAATGACAATATTTATTCAATCCATATACCTTTACATGTGATATTTCCTTAATGGCTTAGCGTTTCTCCGACAGGCATTGCCTTTCTCCATCCAGCCTGTAGCTTGGCACTAAGCTCCTTCCTGATGTTAGCATAGGTAGCATTTAATGCTTGATTGTAGTTTTCCTGTGGATCCACGGTATGATCGTAAAGCTCTGCAGCAACCAACTTATTCCAGTGGGTAACGAACTTCTTACCACCAGTAAACTTGACCCATTCTGTGTAACGATATGAGTCTGTTCTCATGGTATAACCCATCACAGCTTTGCCCGTCAGAGGGTCTCCATCATTTTCATTGGGATACTGGGAGAAGGCTGCAGTCTTCAATGTTGTATTTGGATTCTTCACAAGAGGCATCAGACTGAGTCCTTCTGTACACAGGGTAACATTTTGCGAATTGTCAGGACATGTCTCGATCTTAGGAAGTTCTGCAGCTTCAGCAAGTGTTGGAAAGAGATCCACAAATTCTGTTAACTGTTCTGTGACGATCCCCTGGTCGGTGAGTCCTGGGATGTGAATCATCATGGGAGCATGGGTAGCATCCTCAAAGTTTGTTTGCTTCTGCCATTCACTATGTTCCCCAAGCTGCCACCCATGGTCTCCCCAGAAGGATATGATAGTGTTGTCTGACAGGCCAAGATTGTCAAGCTCAACTATTACTCTGCCAAGTTCGTAGTCTACGAAACTCATACAGCTGTAGTATGCCCTTCTTAACTCTAGAGTAAGGTTATGCGGAAAGGTAAAATTGATATTTCCAATGTCTTTTAACCCGAGCGACTTAATGTCCTTGAATCCAGCAAATTTACTGAAGTTGTGCCAAGCAACTGTGGGCATCCCCACTGGTGCAAAATAATTAGGAGGAGGTCTAATATTCTCAAGAGGGTAATAGTCCATAAAACGAGCTGGAAAATTCCAGGGAAGATGAGGTTTGTGAAGTCCAACCGCCACAAAGAAAGGTTGCTCACCTGACTTAGCTTTCGGCGCCACATCTTGCAGAACCTTTATTGCATTGTCAGCCAGCAGGGTGTCTCCAAGAGGTTGCTGTGCTACTCTTTCCTCAGGCACAGCTGTCCAACTGCGATGATCTCCCTTATAATGAGCGTGTGCATGAAAATACGGGTCTGTCCATGACACAGGATCATCATTACCCGAAGACGACCCTGGATGGAACACCTTCCCCATCCCTATTGTCCTGTAGCCATTCTGCTTGAAGTACTCTGGCAGAGTGGTAAAGTTTCCTCCATATTTCCTGAAGTAAGGGCCGATGGCGTAGATGTGGCTTGTATCGGGTCTCCTACTCGTAAGAAGGGCTGTTCTGCTTGGATTGCAAAGTGCTTGGGAAACATAGGCTCTCTTGAGGAGCAGACTCCGCTTGGCTAATGCATCAAGAGTAGGTGTGTGCATTGTTGGATAGACAGGCGAAGGGAAGTCAGGACCAAGATATGCCCCAAGGTTTGGCCGCATGTCATCCGAAATGAGAAACAGAACATTCTTCCTGGCAAGCACCACAGGAACAAGTATAAATGCAAGCCACTGCATCGTTGGCATGGAAGTCAGAATGGATATGACCACGTCGTAGAGGATTTGTTTTATACTGATAGGATCTGGTGCATTTAGGAACCTAGACGTTCCATTTTTATCTCAGTCACGATACACATTTACATAAATGAATGACGTTGGTATTAGAGATAAATATGTGGTCCTCAACAACAGATAGGCTTGCTTGGAATTTTGTCAGAAAGGCCAAATGAGCGAATGGCACACATGTACATTCTCAGACCTGATTATATATTGCTGTGTAAAAGATTAGGCCTCAGCATTTCTGATAGGAAAAGACTGAATTCCTTTTCACACGCAAGACAGTAAGAATGTAATTCTTAAACTACCATCAAACAGAAGGTTCAACAACATCTTTTCTGAAGGTTTTAAGTTTTAGAATAATCTAAGACGATAAATTGTATGATTTGCATCTGTCACCTTCAGTTTGAAGTGAAATCATATGAGCTCAACAAGCTTGACATGATAATTACAAGGAGTATTACGGATAACAACTTTTACATTATACAAACACATCTTCAGTTGCGCATCTTAACACATCTTCATGTGAATGATGGGGATTTACATATCTGTTGTTATTTGGTGATAGGTAATGTTATTTAAAATGGATTTTTGCAGACAGACAGACAAGTTTATTCATTGAAAGGTCACAGTCATTTGTATATGATACAGATAGTTTAGTGCACATGCTGTGTAAGAAGAACATTTCTAATGCGCTGAAGTACATGATACAGAAAAAAATACTGACATCTCTTATGATACAATCATTATGTCTTTTCATAATGTTAATAAAATTGGCATTTGGATCAACATCAGTCAAATATATCTTAATCTTAAATCAGAAGAAAGTACACACTTAAGGGGTACATCAAATTCATCTTCAATAATATGTTTTCATCCAATTTACAAAATAAACATAATCTCTCATTGTAATTAACTTTATTGTATCTTCCAATTTCAACGGCTAAATTAAAGATACCACATCTAAATTTAGAGAGTGCAGATCTGAGATGTAAAGGAATATCAGAATTTAAATACCTTTCCACATTTAAAAATATCGTAAGTTGTGGTTAATAAAAACATTTATTAGAATTTTGAATTGAAGTGAACCAACATTGTTTAAGATTATCCGAAAATCTCTGATTAAACAAGGATATGAAATAATCAACATTGCCAACATCCTGACTGATCCATGCATAGACAAAACCATACTTAAATAAAATAGTTTTGACACAAGTTGCCTAAGTAGTGCGGCAAACATCATCTAAGGACTTGAGCATAATATAGCAATGTTTTCGCAGTCTATTATAAGGAATATACAATAGGTGACACCAGTATTTAATTACTTTAGTCATAAAAGTACTTTGTAGAGGAAGTCTGCCACAATCACCAAAGCCATGTTATTACACATAGATTAACCAACTTTCAAGAGATATTTACAAAATTTTACCTGAACAGACTCAATGATGCTACAATTGTTAGAACCCCAAATCGCAGACCTATAACACAAAACAGGTGAAACTATACAATAAAAAATCTTAAACAAGACTTTACAATTTACTCTTCCCGTCGTTTTTTTGAAAACCATTTGCAGAAAATATTGCCTTGTTAGCTTGAGATACCAGAGAACTTTGTGCTTTATTCCATACAAGCTTTGGTGTAAATACAAGTCCTAGATATTTATAAAAGGATACAGTTTTAATAGGATTACTATTATAGAAGCACTTGTCATATTCCCGTAATGGCCCACCACATCTAAAAACAAGAACTTTTGTTTACTAAGATTAATTGACATTCCAGTTTGTTTACAAAAAAACATTCACGTGCATTTATCTTCTGTTGTAACTGATTACATGTATCAGAAAGAGCAGAAACATTATCAGCAAACATAAGTGAACACAAATTGTTAAAATCAGATAAAACATTAACACCTATAACACCTTCCTGTTCCATAAAGGAAAACAAGTTATTAATAAATATGATATACAGCGGTGGGCTTAACACACAACCCTGACGTGTAACAATATTACATGTAAAACACTTAGATAAACCCTTTGAGGTTCTAACACATGCATATAAACAGCTGTACATTGATGATATTATATTATAAAATTTACCAGAAATACCAACTTCAGTTAAAGATTGCAAGAGAACATCATGTCTTATTGTGTTAAAGGTCAAATGCCTTTGAGAAATCAATAAAAAGGCAATAAAATCTACCTCTCTCTTTACCCGAATAGTTTGGGCTAAACCCTGAAGAGAGAAAATATGATCAATTGCGGCTCTGAAGCCTGCCTGGGACTCATTAATAATTTAATGTGCATCGCACCATGACTTTAAACGCTTATTCAAAATATAGGAAAATGTTTTACAAATAGAATCAATAAGAGATATACCCCTATAATTATTTGGGTTACTTTTACAGCCAGATTTGAACAGAGGGCATATAGATATTCTTGCCCTAACAACATGGAAAATTACTACTATCAAATATCTGATTAAACAGTACTGTAAGAAAAGGTACAATGGAGGCACTTTAAAAAACTCGTTTGCTATACCATCAGATCCAGGGGACTTATTGTTAGGAGAATATAAAATGTAAAACAAAAAACATCAGTAGCATTTACACCGTTGGTGAAACAATAGGTAAAACATCAGGCTGGTCAACACAAAGTAATGATAGAAAGTGATCAAACCACTGATTACAGGAGATAGGTGAGGGAAGACTGTCACACATTCTATGTCGTTTCAATAACTTCCAAAATTGGCTCGAGTCACTGCTGGAATCCACTAGTTTCTGTCTCTGCCTACACTGATAATTCTCCTTTTTGTATATAAATGTCCTTTTAAATAGCTTTTGTAGCTGTCGAAATATATCCATGTCCTGATTATTGCCTCTGTGTGCACGTAATGCATATTATTTATCGTATTTTTGTTGTATCACACTAACTAAGAGATTAACTGCTTCATCAATATTGGTATACACACGGTCAGTTAGTGTAACAGACATATCTAACAATTTGTTGTGAAACTGTGTTGCAAACTGACTATTACTGTCCTTAGACCACACATATCTAACCCATGAATCCCCCTCAGTAGTGGCCCACTGATTAGCATCTATATTAGAAGTTGTGGTACATTCAGAGTTAGACAGAGCACATGAAATATCGAGAGTGCAGTAGATGGGGAAATGACAAGAAAGGTCCAGAGTACATATCTCAAATTTTCTAATTTCAAATACTGATGAGCTTCCAATCATATTGTCCACAACACTGGAGCCATTGTGAGTGATACAAGTAAACTCACCAGATTTATCATTATGGAGCCAGACGTTAAAGGTACGGATTCCAAATGTTCGCCAAAGTTCATAAAAAATATTTTATGCCATAATTATTGTGAAAATGAAAGTCTTGGCTTGTTCGGGGAGTATCAAACTCATCACTGGGATAGTCTGCTGAATCATTATTTCAGTGTTTAGGGAATCTACAGAGATAGAGAGAGTTCATAGAGCTGAAAGTAGAGCGTATTTATTCAGTTGGCAAACACCTTGTATAATCGTTATATCATAGTGATGCATGAACACATGCTCTGTCATCGTATCGCTTGGTGACAATCACTGGATGGTCTGGTCGAGTTTTGCTTACAACCAACATCGTACAGCTCATGATATTGTCACAACTGTACAGTCGTCTCTGCTTTTAGCAGACATTTCTTTTGACGTGGAAAGGGTTTTGTCGCGTCTTAAACGTTTCCAGAACAGAAACGTTGGTGCCTAAAACGCACTTATCTTAAGATAAACACAATCGAAAGGTTTTTGTAGCTTCCTTTTCACATAAAATGGGGAAAAATCAGGAATTGATGGTTCACTGATGTGAATAGTGTCTCGGAGGTTGAACTTGCTCCAGTCACTTAGCCAAGGTGGCTGGGAGTGTTGATGAAATGTATCGGAAGAGCTGATCTCAAGTCGTCCTTCGGGCCTGTATCCTAATCGATCTAGCGTGTGGGGACTCCCTCATTTCCCATTGATTCCAAGCAACCAAGACGACTTAATGGATCACGTGGTCAGGGTCAGTGACCTACTTGATGGTGTGTGACGTTGCTCTCAATATCCGTCACTGGATTGATTGGCCCAGTTTTATTTAAAGTGGATGTGGATTTACGACTATCCATTTAAGACATAGCTGTATATCAACAGATGTCCTAGTGCCTGTTGTCATTACTATCTTCTTTTTTTCTGGACCTGCCATGTCCTTATCACACAACCACGATCTCAAAGTATGAAGCATTCAGGCCAGTCTGTCCTTACTCCAGACGAGGAGCATGTCTCACAAGACGCATTTCAGGTCAATGTCTAATCTTACAAAAATGAAAGTGCAGGCTTGAAACGACGATTAAGACACGTTCTTCAAGCCAGCTACATTTGTAGCTCATGGATAACAGAAAAGGCTGAAGGTAAAATATGTTTGAGAGAAGGAGCGACTGACTAAAGGAAACGAAACATTGTGTAAAATACAGACGACTGATCCTTATCAGAAAGATGATGTCAGCCTCACGTCCACCTTTAAACACTGAAACTGGACTGTTTATGGTTTACCATACGGTTTAAAGCATGCAACTCAGCGTTTTGAATATCTCCGTCTTGTAAAAATCTCCACGAATCTGCTAGCCTGGATATGGATATCTTTAGTTCATAGTGTTTGGTCACGTGATTGTCACGTGATATTGCTACTTGTTACCAACGAATTCGTGTTTATTAAAATGTAAATTCGACATGATATGTACCAAACCTGCGGACGCAGCTTGTAGGCTATATCTTGGTAATATAATATAATTAATTAATTACAGGGTACAATTGGTCATTTCATGTAGATTCTAACACGACCTAAGTTCATCTTACTGATTGTTTCCACTATGAACGGAAGTAAGGTGATAAGTACAATAATCAACGTAACAATATCGTTTTCGCCGCAGACATATTTGTTTGTTGCTTGACGCCGCACTCAACAATATTCCAGCTACATGTCAGGACCAGACAATCCAGTGATTGTCATTATGAGGTACACAACGGTCCTGCTATGTTTAGTGCGTTTGTCCACTCGACCCCACTAGTTGCCTCTCCATATACATACAAATAGTCGGGCCGTTACAAATTGATCCTTCATTGTCGTTGTATAACTGCCCATGGTCAATGTTAGTTCATGCTCATTTTTCACATCGCAACACAAATTCCAAGACGTTGTATGTCTGTTAGATGTAAATGTACATGCGTTACCACTTTACATTTATTTTTGCAGCCATAACAGGCATCGTAAAATGTAAGTCTTCCTCGTTTTAAATGTTTATGTAATTAACATGTTTCTTGAAATATATTCCATATATTCTTACTTTAAATGATGAATGTGGTTAGGTGTAGGTGAGATTTTATCGAATTCGAAATACGGATCATTACAACAAGTTTATCCGATTGGTTTAGTCACGCAAATCTGTATATTGTATGATATTTTATATCAGGTTTGTTCACCCGTTTATCCGAAAAGATGCAGTCCGGGTGTTTCACTGTATTTGTGAAGAATCAGGTCAGATGGTAACTCTGTGTGATCTGAACGTTTCTGGGGCTCCGATGATGTACCACACTGATGTACACATGGTGTCGACTTCGGCCGATGTCTTGCCCATATTATGTCTCTGATCATCCAGCAGTAGATGGGTTGATGGGAACGTAATGTGATTTGGATTTTATAGTCCCAAGAAAGCTAAAAATGAAAATTTAGAGTATGAGCCATGGATGGATTAAAATTCATATTATTATTATTATTTATTTACGTTTCCAATTTCAGGTGCCGCCGTTCCTGTTCCTCCAGGATCAACGACAACAACAGGTAAGTAATGAATGGCATTCCTACAAAGGACACAAAGGCTGATCATGTTCTTACTGTGATATTCCAGGGGCACTCAGAACAAACTCCTTCCCGGAATTGAGTCACTAATGTTGAAACTGGGTCTCGTAGATTTAATAAATATATTCTTATTTCATAAAATTATATTCAGAGCAAATTTCAAAATTCTTATTATTGTGAAAGATATGCCCCTAAGATTAATTTTGAACAAATATTGAGAATTCACCATTGAACATGTACATCAGTTTGAAAAGGAAGGGAAATTTAGGGTGTAAATTGTCGATGCCCATATTAGCAGAAGACTCAATCTTCAATTTAGGTGTATGTGACGACTCGCTGACGGCGACGCTACCAGACGCGTCGTTTTCCGCCTCCACAGACTACACCAGCAAGGTTCCTGCTCACGACTACGCCCCCTACAGGGGAAGATTAAGCGTCAAGGTTGACCCTAACCCCCAAGCTTACAAGGTCGGCTCCTGGGTCGCCCTTGATCTGGATACAAAACAATGGTTGCAGGTAAACTAGGAATCCGATGTCTGAAAGCTACAATTTTGAGGAACTTAAAGCCAACTCCAGGAAAGTTCCTAGTGAGTCTTTGGCAATCATGCTTGTTGTAAAAGACGAACAGCAGGGGCAGAAAATCATGCTTACTGACTTAGTTGAAACATGTAATTTTCACTGTGCGGGTTGGTGTCATTGGGTCAGTCACTGGATTGTCTGGTCCAGATTATTTACAGCCCCATGTAGTACAGCTGGAACATTGCTGTGTTGGGGTCACACAAACTCCCATTGACCACCACAACTCACATTACAGGTTGACCTTACCGCGCCCAGTGTAGTGCGGACAGTGACGACGGCGGGACGCGACCCCGACCCCGTCAGCGGCTGCTGCAAACAGTGGGTGACAAAGTATACTATTCAGTACAGTCTGGATGGTGCATCGTGGACAACGGTTACCGACAGCGCTGGAGCAGAGAAGGTGAGCTACAAAAGGTGACCTAGTTTTCTGAGGTGCGGCAATTTACTCTCCAGAGTTTGTGCAAGGAAGCGTGGACAAGTAGTTCTGACTGTGTTTCACGGTTTGGTGTGTTTACCAAATTGGTGAACTTCTTACACCTGAATCAGTCTGGAAATTGCCCCCACTCGAATTCGACGCAAGCACTGATATTACTGAAATACTGTTTAAATCTACTTCCAATGCAATTTACTCACTTTAAGACAGGATCTGGTGTAAGCAAATCGTCAATCATATTATTAGCATGTTCGCTAAAGTTCGATATGTATATTCATAGGATATTATTATAGCATATTTTTATAGCACGCATACCCACATAACTAGTACATGCTCAAGGCGCTTGAAGGTTCCCTTGATCAACGGATTTTCCCAAAAGAAGTAACCCATGCGACTAACGGGATCGGGTGGTCAGGCTAGCTGATTTGGTTGACACATGTCATCGTATACCAATTGCTTAGATCGATGCTCATTCTGTTGATCACTGGATTGCCTGGTCCAGGCTCGATTATTACAGACCGACACCATTTTTAAAAGCTGGAATATTGCTGAGTGCGGCGTAAAACTAAACTAAGTCACTGACTCACTTCATATGGTCAAGTCAAGTCAAGTTTATTGTATTCAAGGCCTCCGGCCCATATACAAGGAGTAACATACATATACATAACTACAGTACATAATACAATGGCAATTATAATGGTTATTGCTTAGATATCCTATCATTTCTCAAGACAACAGCATGTTTTACAAATAGAGAAAGGTTACGGATAACAGTTTCATTTCTGGAAGTGAGAACCGAGACAAAGGCTATTGTTGGATATTTTGATAGATAATTACTTGAAATATATTTTCTTCTAAGATCATCATAATATGGACATACAAATATAAAATGAATTTCATCTTCAATAGATGAAGTGCATAATGGACAAATTCTCATATTTCTGTCTATAGACAATCTTCTACCTTTATTAATACTTAAATCTAATAAACCTAGTCGGAGCTGAACAAATGTGCGTCTGATATTTCTTGATGTCAATACAGATAAATATATTTCTGGTTGGATAAGGCTCTTAAAGGACCTATATAGATCATACCTTGAACTATTTTCGAGAGTCGAATGCCATTCTTGATGGAACATATTAATTGACTGTTCTCGGAAACGTTTAAGAAACAGAGTTACATTACCCATTGTCTGATTTAACCATGCAAATCCAAGGCCATGAGAAAATAAAAGATTTCTAATATGTGAAGCCCAAGTTGTCTTGCCCATGCTATCAAGATGAACAAGCATATTATAAGCTATTTTAGGTATTCGTTGTTCATGCATTTCCAGAATCTTAAGCCAATACTTCAAACATCTGATTTGTGAATTTATATAAACTGGATATCTCCCACATTCCCCATAAACCATGGGATATCTCATGATGTGAACTATACACGGGTATTGCCTGACTAAAGGTATTCAAACATTTAAGCTGTTATGAAAGTAGTTGTAATTTTGGTTTAATACGCAGCTGGTAAATCTGTACATATAAATACAAGGGTTTGGGTTGGTAACAGTTCGGACAAATACCTAACAGAATTCTTATATAATTTGAGATAAACATTTGTAAATACTATTTTCAAAAAACTAATTGATTATTATAATTTGGTGTGTTGAAGTGCAAAATGCAAACAGAATGAGATTTGAACTGGGCTTTTAATGATATTTTATGGGTAGGTGATCACACTGGTCTTGATAAAACCGAGATGGACACCACAATGGCCGACAAGAACATTGTAATCACTGATTTTTTTAAACCATGTAGTATAGAAAATAGAACGAACTCACGCACGCAAAGATTCCGGCAAATCTTAAATAACATTTCGACCTGTATTGTTACGGTTAATTAGTTGCCGTGACAACAGGTTTAAGAGTCCCCCTTGAACCATCAAAATAGAACAACGACAAGTCTAAAATATTCAATAATATATTGAGCAAACAATGAGCAAACTACAATGAATGACAATACAGATTTCTAGTACAATGGAAGTGAGTCACAAATCTAAAATATCGGGTCACAAATATTAGATATTAACTCACCAGAGTCTTGACATTTACAGTGAGAGCAGATATACTGATTGAAGGTTGTTTACATTGACAACAGTTGAATATAGACAAACACGGTCAGACGATGACGATGGCAGACAGATGTACACAAATCCAGTCATGTAATAAAGCCCCGCAGCACAATGCAACATGCACCCTTTATACAGCTCTTACACAGTTCTCGAGCATTCAAGTAAATGCGGGCAGCATCACTATCCACTCAGAAAATTAGGCCATTTTCTCGAACATACGACCGGGAATCAAAACAAAATAAGCCAATGGAGGCAACTCTGGAGCGCTATGAAAAAGGCGTACCGCTAAAATATATTATTGCCATTGACCAAACATGATGCAAGATGTAAGCTACAACCAACACTCAAAACTTTAAACAGTGTGACCCAAATTAACTATCACGAAATCAATGATATTATAACTTACAAAAAAAACACACTCTCATAACAGTATCATATTCGGAACATGATATGACGGAGCCGTTGATCTCTTGGGCACATGAATGTTTCCACGTATTCATGACCTCATATCTTGGCATGATTATATGCGACTGTAATATTTTGGATTTCAGGTTTTCGACGGCAACACCGACTCCACCACGCATGTAACGAACAGTCTCGCATGTCCAGTCATCGCTCAGTATGTCCGAGTCAGTCCAGTAGAGTGGCACGGATACATCGCAATGAGGATGGACCTTAACGGCTGTAACATTGCTTCTGGTGGGTGTGACGTCGGTAAATTAATGTCATCGGTTGCACATCAGGGGATCAGTCATGCTTGTCGTAAGAGGCGACTAACGGTATCGGGTGGTCCGGCTGTCACATGTCATCGTATCCGAACTGTGTAGACCGATGCTCATGCAGTTGTTCACTGGATTATCTTGTCCAGACTCGATTATTTACAGACCGTTGCCATGTAGCTGAAATAGTGCTGAGTGCGGCGTAATACTAAATCACCTTACTCACTCGGGGATCAGGCTTATGTCTGTGGTAGGACAACTTGTGGGAATCGGAAGCGTAGAAAGACACGTGATAGGACTAAGACACGTGGTAGGACTCACACACGTTTTAGGACTCAGACGCAGGGTTGGACTCGAACCCATCTGTCTCACTTCATCTCCATGGATAGAAGCAATAATAAAGAATTCATTCGTGCTTTGAGGTCATTATAGAATATATGAGTTTTTCCCAATAACAGTGCAGGGGCGAAGAGATACAATGGTGGAATCGGACAGGGACAAAACATCAACATGACAGGAATCACTGGGTTGTCTGCTTGCTGTTTAACAAGTATATTCTAGCTAAATTGCAGCGGTCTGTAAATAATCGCGTTTGGATCAGGTGACACTTTCCGTCTTTCAAAGAACCATGAGATTAGAGAATATTTGGATAGTTGAGGCAGCCTGAGGGTATCTTCCACAAGGACAATAACAAGATGCTTTATAAAAGTATCAATTTCATTTTGATATCGTCCCTAGGTGGAGCTACAGCTGGACCATCTACCGCGGCACCGACAACACCGACAAGTAAGGAACCGTATAATTTTCATATTCAGCATGCATTATTCCAGACGTGCGTGATTTATCGTTACCAGAATTTCATTGTAGAATACAACCTGTTGCTCTGTTGAGACACAGTTTATCAAATTCTGCCAACATTATCCTTTTTTTATGAATGCTTAAACACAGTGATGTTTCTCTTCGCAAATATATATATCAAATTTTAGCCGTGTCTGTTTGGTATCTCTGAAACTATTGCGACACGTCACCTGCCTGGACGGTCTGGAGTATCCCGGGCAGTACCGCAATCATTCGTAACTACTCGTGTCATTCCGGCAAGCCGGATGGCGTCTCGTACCCTTTTCGTGGCCATGTTTACGACTGGGCCCTGTCTAAGCGCAAACGGGCATGGAGATTAAAATAGGCTAGTACTATTGCCAAGGAAAGATAACTCTGAATTTCCAAACATGGCTCCTAGAATATCCTTTTTCCCGTGGGCAAAAGAGCAATACAGTCATTCCCTTTGTAAATATGTTTCAGTGTTTACAGTTTCTGATCCTTTAGCTCAAAGTTTATGTTTAAATTGTGCTTTGCATAGTTCAGCGAAGTTTCAAACTTCAACGGTGCCGCCATTTTCATGCTTCGAAATGCGTTTTACTACGCGCGATTTGATTGGTTTGCCACGATTCTTGGCAATAATGGCGTACGATAGGGGTACGAGTCTTCTTGTAGGTCACGGAAAGAGGCGAGTTGTTACGAATGTACCGCAATGAGAAAAATGCCAGGTGTAGATATTCCAAATCAGGCTTGAAAGTATGCATCAAACGGTTGGTGCTTAACTATTTTCATAGTGTATAAAATAAACCTATGAAATTCCCATTACAGTCGCTGTTGCAGGACAACTCTCTAATGGCCGTAAGTAAATATATTTCAATATGAAGGTATTTAGTTAAAGGTACTTATTGAGTAATGGATGTATCTATTTAGAGTGATATTGTCTAGTGCCGCTTTTAACATCATTCCGGTTGTATCACGATGTATGTAGCGGGGATGTGGCTGGGGAGGGGGTTGGACACGGAGATTACAGGTATTTACCACTGTGGTGAATCTCACAAACACGGGTAAGGTGCTGTCAAACAGAGGTACAACTCCCCACAGCACATTAGCACCTTAGACGACTGGGACACTATAGGTTAAAGCATGGTAAATTGATGGTGATGAAAGTAATTTTCACAACCTTGAACTAACCTCATCATATTTGCATTTAGCTAAACTGCCTTTATTTCAAATTATATTATACTATATTCTCCTTTCTTTTTGTTGGGTGAGCTTCAGTACCTATATCACCATCGTTTATAGTGTTTGCATCACATTATCGTCCTCTGTACAGAATGTGTCAGCGACTGCAGCAGTAAGGGTGATGGCTTCTACCAGTCCTGTCAGGGTTGTAATGTTTATGTGCGATGTGTCAGCGAGAAGATCACTGACAACAACCCCTGTCCTCCCGGGACTGTGTGGAACGACAACATCAAGTTCTGTGACATAAACTCTCCCACCTGTCAAGGTAGGAACATCATGCTGACAGATTCGTGTTTATATCAATGACTGAAATGCTTTCAATGATCACACGAAACACCATCCTCAGCCTAAAGAACAAGATATTATTATCCTGTTTTCACATTGTAAGTATTATACGGTACGAATAGAGACCGTCCCGTGCTATCATTTATGGAACATATACTGAGGGAAACAAATAAGGGAACACCACTTCATGACAGTCTTCTTTTATTTATTCTCAGATTTCCTCCCACAGCGCTATTCACAGCTGGTGATGAAAACTGGAAACCATTAAAGGAACACTTGAATTGTCCTGTGTTTCTTTATTTGTGTCTCTCAGTATAACATTCGCACTTTATGCTGCTGATACTATGTATATGGAATAATCTCCTTACCCAATGTCACTATGAATATGTTTACGAACAGATGTATTGACACTTACTGAGGTAACTTTAGACACTGCGTAAAGATATTGACAAATGCATTTGGTCTGTTCACGTCACCTAAAACACCATCCATCAGATTATGCACTCACTGTTATGAGTGAGTGAGTGAGTGAGTTTGGTTTTACGCCGCTTTTAGCAATATTTCAGCAATATCACGGCGGGGACACCAGAAATGCACTGTTATGAGAGAAACTGACAAACTGTAGCATATATAAGGAGTGTTCCACCATACACACAACTCACTATATCTGTCTCTGGCTGTAGGTCCCACAAGTCCAACCACGCCAGGAACCACTACAACCAGTAAGTCCTTACATTGTACATACTGAAATGGTTCTCCTTATGTAAAATACAATCTATAGAATACAAGTGATTTATGTAATATGATCGACCAACCATGTCTTTTCTGTGACTGTATGTTCATAAAGCGAAAACATTTACGTCACGCCCATACGGGGAAATTGGCTGATATATGAGTATCAGTTTTTACGTTGTGCGCACACGCACACGCACACACACACGCACGCACGCGCGCACGCACACACACACACACACACACACACACACACACGTCTTTACTGAAGGTAATTCATACATGATTCTGATAATTGTGGAAGGCCTATTGGAGGTTCTAGAAGAAAAGATAAAAAATTGTGATTCATTTTCGGACCTAATGTAGGTTAAATGTTGGCAACTACAACCAGTTTCACGTTAATATTTTGTATCTGTGCTTTCTGGAAAAGAAGACATGTGTGCTATCACGTGTTCGTTTGTGTGGGGCTAACTGAACAGATAGACACCAGGATGTTGGTATTTCCTTACATAGGAACCACAGGAAATATGACGTGTGTTTTCTAACGAACGTGATTGTATCATTCTCTAAGTTCTCTAAAAATTCTGACATATTATTTATGTTGTGAAACCGTGTCGGGCGCAAACAGGACGTCAATAAAATATACACGGTGTTTTCTTTTCTCTGTAATTATATTCTCAACACGTGAAAGACACACAACACACATGCTAACATAATATATAATTATTCATATAACTCTTTACTATTTCAGCAATGGCTGCAGGACAACTTTCAACCGGCCGTAAGTGAAATAATCGTCATTGATAGGATTCTTATGATGATTATCAATATTCTGATATGTTCGCAGATCAAGAAGACGATTTATGATCAGTTTGCAAAATCCATGACATTATTTGCATTGCTATTAAAACACCGATGCCATTTGCACTGATGCCATTTGGTGTTTTGTTAAAGGTATGAACAAAATGGATTTCTCTGAAACGATGCTACCGTATTTCGACTGATTGTATCTGATTATAACAGGGTGTGTAACTGAGTGGCGTGGTGAATGAATCATTAACACTGGTTTCTGCATATGTCAGTTGTACAATAGGTGGCGATTAGGAAAATATGTATAGCACTGGGGGTAGTTACGTAACGGGCCAATTATATGACTTGCCCCCATGAAATGATTGTGATTAACTGGCAATTATGACCAGTGATTAAAATACCTCTTGAAACAAGAGAAACTCAAATGAAAATGTAAATACAAGCTGACCAATACACTTGAACATAATAATCGCTGTGGACACTATAAGTTGTTCACGGGTCACGGGGCATGGGTTCGGACTCAGGGAACATAAACAAACATCGAGGGTACATCAACCCATGGGCCCCGAGGGACCAGTAAACAACGTATTTATCTTACCGAACATCTTAATGTTTATTTTGAATTGTTTGAAGCACGGGTACAAATCTTTTTGTAGCCATCGCTAGATTTTGCTGACAAGAAAAACAGATTTAGAGTTATCTCCCTTCCATCGATTTGCATTCGCAAAAAAACGGTAATTTCCGTACATCATACGTGATTCAATGTTATTCGAGATAAAGAATTACTACCACGAAGTACCAAATGAGTTGCCATTGACAGCGGGGTACATTGAAATGTTACTCGCTTGTAAGCAGGGTACATTGAAAATAATAAAAGAGCGCGCAGGCAATCAGAAAGCGACATTTATGTGTGAGGTAAGATAAAATTAGTAAATCCCCGGCAACTGGATTTAAACAGAGGCACACTTGTTCTTCAACACGAACGATTGTTTTAGCGACAGACAATCAGACAGGTTAGGTCTGCTGTGATATAGAGGAACGATTTATTTATGGACAGACAACTTGTTGACTGGAATGGATGAGACATTTCGACTGCTTGACAACAGTGTTAGCAGCTACAGTGAAACTTCGCATCCAGTGCAATAAACAAGTTTTCTTTGATTGGCATTCTAAAATTTGAGAAGATGAAGAAATCAGGACGATTTTTTTTATGGATATACCACTTCTTTATTCTGTCTAGACGACGTTTCGACATAGATTCCAATGTCGTTGTCATGGAAGTGAATACCCGTAATTAGAATCTATCGTTCTCTTGATCATACCAGCTTCTAAATGTCACTATAAGAAGTTATAGGTATTCTTGGCTTGCTTTTATGCCTGCGTAAATACGTCAACTCACTGTCGCTGAACATATTTGGCTGGGGCAAGACAATAAACACCAAAGGAACCGATAGAGTAAGCTTGCACAATGGCGACTGTGGTTTAATTGACAGGCTGAACTCGGACGTAGACTTAGAGAATAAAATAATGCTGAAACTGAAATACACTTGATGCTGTGTACATATAATTACGTAGTTCTAAATGTGTATAAGTTGAAATGGAAGCTTCATTACCATAGAGGCGCAGTGGAATAGCCTAGTGCTTACAGCGTTCGCACGTCAGCCTGAAGGCCCGGGTTCGATTCCCCAAATGGGTACAATGTGTGAAGCCCATTTCTGTTGTGTTATTGCTGGACTGTTGCTAAAAGCGGCGTAAAACCATACTCACTCATACCCCCAGTGCCTTAGGCACAATCATTTGGATCCGTTAATTCAAACCTGCATATAGCTTGGTATCGAAACAAACATTTCCATATGTATTCAAACTTGCATTGTAAGTGAGTTCAGTACCTATATCCCCATCGTTTATAGTGTTTGTATCACATTATCGTCCTCTGTACAGAATGTGTCAGCGACTGCAGCAGTAAGGGTGATGGCTTCTACCAGTCCTGTCAGGGCTGTGATGTTTATGTGCGATGTGTCAGCGAGAAGATCACTGACAACAACCCCTGTCCTCCCGGGACTGTGTGGAACGACAACATCAAGTTCTGTGACATAAACTCCCCCCACCTGTCAAGGTAGGACAGATTCATGGCACAATCTCCATCTTCAGCGAGTCTTCTAGCCTTCTTAATTACTTTCTAACACACACCCAAAGTTCAGAGGGCGTTCAATGTTAATACATTTCCACCATCCACCGGGTCTACGTGTCTTTGCAGTTCCAACATTACAGCTTTTATTTGAAGTGGTGAATAACATAGTCTTTTCGTAGCCGCCTTTTTATAAGCTTTATGCACTCAGAAAGAATTTTTTGACATGACGTCACGTCAAAGGCAACGCTCCGTGTTGATACAGTTCGCTTTAGATAATAACAGTTTAGAGTTCAAACTAAATATTTGGTTATGCTTTGCATATCATCGAATTTGTTCTCGTAGGTCTCTGTGTCAAGCTGACAAACGTCAACAAATACAGCTTCATTTGATAAACACCTTCTCTGTAGTAAGCTAACGTTACATATATACGGGTGTAGCACCAGAGCTACAATTGCCCAACTCACTATGTCTGTCCCTGGCTTCAGGTCCGACCAGTCCTACCACGCCAGGAACCACTACAACCAGTAAGTCCTTGCATTGTAGATACTGAAAACGGATGGGGTTCATGTGTATACCTATATAATACCAGGGCTCCAGATAATTTTTCATAATCAGGAGTACGTACTCCTTATTTTTTCAATATAGGAGTACTGGAAACATTGAGTACATTTAGAGTACTGAATGGAATTTAATGGCGTATCAGTAATCTTGTGTTTCGCTTCATATATGCACCAAAACATTACTACTCTTGGGTAAACAATAAAACAATACTTTTTCAGATAAATACGTCTGTAAATGATTCTGAAACCGTACACCATTGCTGTGGTCCGTATCTGCTACGTTTTTAAAATTGTTTCCTACCGTATCGTGCTTATTTTATATCCGTACATACGCCGATACGGCCCTTATCTGGAGCCCTGTAATACCATAACACAACTAATACACTGCAAGTGTTTGGGGCATTTGATTGGCTGACAATCCTCTTTTCATTCCTTACGTTTCCATAAAATGAAATATACTGAGGGAAACAAATAAGGGATCACATGAAAGCACAAATGTTTCTTAATTTGTTTCCAGGTTGCTTCACAAGCGTTGTATCGCATAGCTTGTGAAGAAACCTGGAAACAAATAAAGGAACACTTGTGCTTTCAGGTGATCCCTTATGTTTTTCCCTCAGTATATATACCGGGTCACGGTGATAAACGGAGAACGGTATCCTTCCTGAATGACTGTGTCCAAAGCTTCATTACTGCTACATGTGGCATTGTTCTGTCGTTAATGTTGTGTACATGTTTATTGGTAAGATTTGACTTTAATAACGTGTTTTCTTTGACGGATTTATGAATGTACACCACGTGTGTTGGTACTTTGTGTAAATCAACTTTGTGTACACACCTGCCTGCTCGGGTTTAAACTGTGTGGGCAACTGCATAATGACTGCATGAACGCACTCTGTTTATAGAAATTATTTCTAAAATGATTGTACACATCTTTATGATTTCAGCAATGGCTCCGGGGCAACTTTCAACTGGCAGTAAGTGAAATACTAATGGTCAAGTATAGGATTCTCATACTATGAAAATTATATACTATCCCAAAAAGAAACGCGTAGGCGTTTGGATTTTTTAAAAATCCATTAATTACCTATTGTGTTCAAACAATCGTCAAAATATGTAACAAAAGTGTTGATAACATGATTTTACACAATCACCGTCGTTTATAGTGTCTGTATCACATCATCGTCCTCTGTACAGAATGTGTCAGCGACTGCAGCAGTAAGGGTGATGGCTTTTACCAGTCCTGTCAGGGCTGTGATGTTTATGTGCGATGTGTCAGCGAGAAGATCACTGACAACAACCCCTGTCCTCCCGGGACTGTGTGGAACGACAACATCAAGTTCTGTGACATAAACTCCCCCACCTGTCAAGGTAGGACAGATTCATGGCACAATCTCAGTCTTCAGCGAGTCTTCTAGCCTTCTTACTTTCTAACACACACCCAAAGTTCAGAGGGCGTTCAATGTTAATACATTTCCACCATCCACCATCTACGTGTCTTTGCAGTTCCAACACTACAGCTTTTATTTGAAGTGAATAACAAAGTCTTTTCGTAGCCGCCTTTTTTTAAGCTTTATGCACTCAGAAAGAATTTGTTTGACAAATGACGTCACGTCAAAGGCAACGCTCCGTGTTGATACAGTTCGCTTTAGATAATAACAGTTTAGAGTTCAAACTAAATATTTGGTTATGCTTTGCATATCATCGAATTTGTTCTCGTAGGTCTCTGTGTCCAGCTGACAAACGTCAACAAATACAGCTTCATTTGATAAACACCTTCTCTGTAGTAAGCTAACGTTACATATATACGGGTGTAGCACCAAAGCTACATTTGCCCAACTCACTATGTCTGTCTCTGGTTGTAGGTCCGACCAGTCCTACCACGCCAGGAACCACTACAACCAGTAAGTCCTTGCACTGTAGATACTCAAAACGGAATTGGTGTTCATGTGTATACCTATATAATACCATAACACAACTGATACACTGCAAGTGTTTGGGGCATTTGATTGGCTGACAATCCTCTTTTCATTCCTTACGTTTTCATAAAATGAAATATACTGAGGGAAAAAAATAAGGGATCACATGAAAGCACAAGTGTTCCTGTAGTTTTTTCCAGGTTGCTTCACAAGCGTTGTATCGCATAGCTTGTGAAGAAACCTGGAAACAAATAAAGGAACACTTGTGCTTTCAGGTGATCCCTTATTTTTTTCCCTCAGTATATATACCGGGTCACGATGATAAACGGAGAACGGTATCCTTCCTGAATGACTGTGCCAAAGCTTCATTACTGCGTGAAATGGTGTTACATGTGGCATTGTTCTGTCCTTAATGTTGTGTACATGTTTATTGGTAAGATTTGACTTTAATAACGTGTTTTCTTTGACGGATTTATTAATGTAAACCACGTTTGTTGGTACTTTGTGTAAATCAACTTTATGTGCACACCTGCCTGCTCGGGTTTACACTGTGTGTGCAACTTCATACTGACTGCATGAACGCACTTTGTTTATAATAGAAAATATTTCTAAAAATGATTGTACACATCTTTATGATTTCAGCAATGGCTCCGGGGCAACTTCCAACTGGCAGTAAGTAAAATACTAATGGTCAAGTATAGGATCCTCGTACTATGAAAATTATATACTATCCCAAAAAGAAACGCGTAGGCGTTTGGATTTTTAAAAATCCATTAATTACCTATTGTGTTCAAAAAATCGTCAAAATATGTAACAAAAGTGTTGATAACATGATTTTACACAATCACCGTCGTTTATAGTGTCTGTATCACATCATCGTCCTCTGTACAGAATGTGTCAGCGACTGCAGCAGTAAGGGTGATGGCTTCTACCAGTCCTGTCAGGGCTGTGATGTTTACGTCCGATGTTTCAACAAGCAGATCATTGACAAGAACCCCTGTCCTCCCGGGACGGTGTGGAACGACAACATCAAGTTCTGTGAGTCAAGCTCACCCACATGTCAAGGTAGGAACATCATGCTGATAGATTCATGTTGAGGATTATGGTGTACATTTACAGAAAACTAGTCTGTTATACATACCCTGAGGCAAATATTTCCAAGAAAGTCTAGGAAATGTGGCAAGTCAAGATTTCCACAGCTTTAGGATGAAGAAAGTCTCAGGGCTCCTTTTCATTATATACTACCCATCAAAAGTTTAGACTCACTAGTGTAAATGTAGCCTCTTATTTCAGTCAACTGTTCTAAACTTGATTTTGCAAAATAGTCAGTTCAGTTTAAAGGTACTGTTTACACATGAACTAATGCATTGTAAAACAAATTCGTAAGGTTGAACAGATTATTGTCATGAGTTCAGTAAATAATGAAAATCTGTGAAAATTGGCGAATTCTTCAGAAAACTTTACACCAAAACGCAGCTGTTCACATGAACGATATTTGCACATGCTTTTAAGCAATTTGATGCATGATCCTCTTACAATTCATCTGCATAAAGTTTGCAGTTGGCTCCCCCAAGTTAGTGGAGAAATTCATCTTCGATGTAACCATATGTATATGCATAACATATAGTGAGTGCTTTAGGTGAGTCTAAACTTTTGATGGGTAGTATATTAATTGTTTTACTATGGACTATTTTTTCTGTATAATATGTTCATTTCAGAGACTAGTTGTTAGTGTACCAGGAAACAAGCATCGTCATTTCAAGATGTAAAGGAATGTTTGCCAAAATTCTAACATGCATATTGGGCGTTCGGACAACTAGTTCACAGGCATTTGTTCAGAATCTTGTAAACATATACACATCAAGCATTTAGATTCATTAACCTGCATATATCTACGTCCCTTTATCTTGTCTCTAGTACCCGTGAAGGTCCGGACTAGAATGAACCTTCAGTAACCCATGCTTGTCGTAAGAGGCGACTAACGGGATCGGGTGGTCAGGCTCGCTGACTTGGTTGACACATGTCATCGGTTCCCATTTGCGCTGATCGATGCTCATGCTGTTGATCACTGGATTGTCTGGTCCAGACTCGATTATATACAGACCACCGCCATATAGCTGGAATATTGTTGAGTGCGGCGTAAAACTAAACTCACTCACTCACTGTCTCTAGTCTATATGTTTACACATTTGCCTGTGGATATTTCCAACACGTTCTACTACAGAAACGACACCAACCTCCACCGTGGCACCGACGACTACACCGGTACAGACTACACCTTCATCCACAGTGAAGGTAACCATACCTTCAACCACGCAACCAACGACGACTCCTACACCTGAACCTACGACAACACCTGCAACTACGCAACCAAAAACTACCCCTACACCTAAACCCACAAGTGCGGCTACACCACGACCACCAACTGTGCCAACACCTACGCCAACATTTCCGCCGACGACGCGTGCACCAACGAAGCCAGGTAACGTACTGTTTAGTTATGACATCGTAAGCACCGTGTTTCGTTGAAACAGAGAGATTTTTGTATTCAGTGTTTTCCATTGCATTCAATGTCATTTAATTCAAATTGTCATTATGATTTTAAAGAGATCTGTTTTCGTTGGTTGCAGGAGTCCTAATGCCTAATCCATATCGTGAGTATATACTGTTGTTGCGACAGTCGTATCTTGGCACTAAAACATCCTTCAACTTGTCTATTCTTCTACCTCTGTGTTTGTGTCGAACCCCTATATGTCTCATACAGTAGGCTATGATTGTCATGAGAGGCGACTAATGGGACCGAATGGTCAGGCTCGCTGACTTGGTTGACATTCATGCTGTTGATCACTGGATTGTCTGGTCCGGACTCGATTATTTACAGACCGCCGCCATATAGCTGGAATATTGCTGTACGGCGTTAAACAACAAACCAACTAACCAACCAACCAACCAACCAATCTTATACATCATGAGGTGAGGTGAGGTGAAATTGGGTTTAACGTCGTGCTTGAGAATATTTTGCTCATATGACGACGTGCATGCGTGTGTATGTGTATGTGCGGCTGCTTGTACTAGCCCAGACTGAAGCTGGTTTTATAGTGCTAGCCCACTGAGATACCATGCCGCAGTGAAGCATGAATACCCCACTCAGACACATTATACTGAATCCGAGCCAACCAGTCCTTGTTGTACCCATTAATGCCGAGCGCCAGGCAGGGACCAACAAGTACCATATTTTAACGTCTTTTGGTATGACGCGGTCGGGGATCGAACCCGCGACCTTCCGCTCTCCGGGCGGACACTCTAACCTCTACACCACGGAGGCAGTCATTTTACATCAAGACATATGTAGGCGTATGTGTGTAGTGTTAAATACTGATATGGACACACAAGTCAGGGACAATGTGTGGTGATTTAAGCAATTGAGTACGTAGCTTCTCTACCTCAGACACTTTGACATACGAAGATACTATTCAACAGAAAGGTAGCATACTTCTAACCTAATTCATTGTACTTTGCCCAGGCTGTGTGAAAGACTGTAACGAAGTCCCCAACGGAGATTACCAATCATGCAGGGGCTGCAACATCTACGTCACCTGCTCCAGCGGACTGACGTACGACGGCAATCAGTGCCCGGCGTCGACCCTTTGGAACGACAACACCAAGTACTGCGATTATAAATCGCCGACCTGCCCGTAGAGACGGCCGTGTTCACTGGCTGTTCCTTGTCGTCAGGGAACATCAGATATGTGACAAGAAAGGAGAACTATCATTGATCGTCAAAATAATGTGAACAAACCAATGACGTCATGTTCGTATTCGTGTTCGTCTATGTATGTTTGTAGGATTTAACTTAAATCCTTAAATCTTAAAGAAAAATGCCATACGGTTCCTTAAAATTCATTGTTTACGGTATAAGGCACTTGAATCTGTAAAAGCAATGTAATATCCTGTTAAATAGTCCCCGAGCCGATGCACGATGATTGGTTGTTCAGAGATTAAAAGTCTATGAAACATTCTGGACTCCATGTCGAATTTCACAAAGGTTAAATAAACAATAAAACCAAATGAGTGAGTGAGTGAGTGAGTTTAGCTTAACGCCGCACTCGGCAAATTCCATCTATATGGCGGCGGTCTGTAAATAATCGAGTCTGGACCAGACAATCCAGTGATCAACAGCATGAGCATCGATCTGCGCAATCGGGAACCGATGACATGTGTCAACCAAGTCAGCGAGCCTGACCACCCGATTCCGTTAGTCGCCTCTTAAGACAAGCATAGTCGCCTTTTGTGGCAAGCACATGGGTTGCTGAAGACCTATTCTACCCCGGATCTTCACAGGTCAAAACCAAATGAAACATCCATCTTGTCAACGTCACCTTGAGGAAAGCAACTACGTTAACAAAACAAGAATCTTGAAAACAAATTGAAGGGGCATTTGAAGAAAATAAAGAGTACCCTTTGCGCTCTACCCATGACTGAATTCTTGTTGGGTCTTGCTGGGATGGATTTGTCGTGAGATCTTTTGGCTTTAAAGTTCTTGTTGATTATAGGTCCGGCCTCCGCCATGTTTGACTAGGTTCTTTGTATTGTGGCTGAAAAGGATACTGTTAGTGTTACTCTAAGACGATACATGCTTCGGTTGCTGAGAGCAGACACGTTTTTTTATTGATTATACGTCGAACCTGGACACGTTTCACGTGCCGTGCTCATTTTGGGTCACGTCATAGCTGAAGGCAAATGCTTTGAAGGTGTGTTCAAAGACAAATCTTGGTCGCCGTATATCTGAAGAAACATGCTTTAGTGTGCTAAAGAACACTTTTGTGTGCTTTACATGGAGACACGAGTGCTCAAGGACACATTTTTGTCACGTTACACCTAAAGACATACTTGGGGCGGTGTGCTCAAAGACACATTTTTGTCACGTTAAACCTGAAGACATACTTGGGGCGGTGTGCTCAAGGACACATTTTTTGTCACGTTACACCAAAAGACATACTTGGGGCGGTGTGCTCAAAGACACATTTTTATGTTATGGCCGAAGACACGTGCCTTCATCAAACACACCCTCGTTTGAATTTGAAAAAAAAAAGAAAGCAAAATTAGGATAATATTTTGATCAGTGAATAAGAGTGGATGCCCGGCTTTGCACATTGTATCGAGGTATGGAACCGAACCTGTAGTATTGAGCTTATAAATTTAATCACTGGACACTCCACCAGCTCGGCTGTTTGAAACGTGGAACACAGCAATCATATCCCAAATCATATCCGTCCCTTTTTGCTGAAGAATCCCGAGTTTGTTGTTCAACGCAGCAATCAACAATACTCCGGTCTATAAGCAATCCGTGGACTGTTAATATTAGCACGCCGCAACAAGCCAGCCATTACATACATCTGGAAAAACGAATGGCAACACAAGAATAGTGTCCGGCTGGTATGTGAGGGAGTTGGGGAAGAATGAATCACCAAAACACATGTACGAGTGCTGGCTGAAAAGTTCTAAGCCTAACCGCGAAGGACCTGTCGATTTCCAAACGTTATTTGCTCAGCACCAGCTCATGGCAAAACGGGGCGGTGGGGTAGTCTAGTGGTTAAAGCGTTCGCTCGTCACGCCGAAGGCCCGGGTTCGATTCCCCACATGGGTACAATGTGTGAAGCCCATTTCTGGTGTCCCCGCCGTGATATTGCTGGAATATTGCTAAAAGCGGCGTAAAACTAAACTCACTCACTCACTCATGGCAAAACAACGTTTCTGTCCGCAAAATCAAGGCATATGCCACAGTCCTTATGTATTCCTTTGGTCCTTCTCAGTTGTCAAGTGTAAAGAGATAGCATTTAATCGGTATGAGGAACGCGGGAGTGTCACCACGCCAAATTGCTGCCCAAATTGGTTATCAACCATCAACGATCAACGTTAAGAAACATGGGGGAACTGTTGTAAAGGGCGGTAGACCCAACACTGGAAGGTCTTGCACATCTCCATAGACATGTACAACCCAACCCTTTGCAAACAGTGTCGTGGAATGTTTGTTTTGTCGGTTTTGTACCCCGTTTTGAACGAATTTAGTAATAAGGAAATGTAACAAACTGAATGTTATCTTTTCGTCAAAAATGTAAATGCAGGTTAATGATAGTTAAACGGATACCCATGTTACAACATTATTCTAAAGAAAGTCAAACTTTTAAACCACAGTATCTTCAGTAGCAAACGTACTCTACATAGTCACGCGCTTCACGTGCTCAGTAATTTGATCTGAAAGCAGTGTAACAGCGAATTAATATTATTTTAATTACTTCATGAAGATGTGCCCTAACAGCAGACAGGAACCCATTCGCAGAATACTAACTAGTGGAATTAATTCAATAATTTTCAAACAACTTCTGCATCACATGATCCCTTTTTTTCATATTTACTATGACATACATTTTCTGAAACCTTCCTGTAGATTTCTTTCATGCACTTCATTCATCCATCATCCAAATATGAACCTACTTTTCTTAATGGTTCTTCTAAACCTTGTTTTCCATACGACTGGCTGACCTGCAGGCTTCATGATAGTCAATAATTTCATGTCTATGTGTGATGCAAGAAGTAAATCACTCCAGTTACTTACACTGCACCACACTGAAGTACAGACTGCAAAGGGCCATGTCTTTCCCAATCAATGTCAGTGTCACAAAACAAAGTGAGTGAGTGTGAGTGAGTTTAGTGTTACGCCGCACTCAGCAATATTCCAGCTGTAAATTATCGAGTCTGGACCAGACAATCCAGTGATCAACAGCATGAGCATCGACCTGCACAATTGGGAATCCCACAAAACAAAAACAAAAACAAAAACTGAGATCAATGAACAATAATGATTTATTGAACAGTTGGCTTGTTTCATCTTGTCGTTTTTTGATAACAACCATATCACAGATAGACTTACACAAGAGAGAGATATAGCCGGATTCTTCAGGAATCTGAACACTGCCATCAACCACCACAGACCTTTCGAAACTTACCAAGTGGCCACACTTACTCATATAACCCAGCCTCATCTAGAGTTTTCAAATTCAATGGTCCAAAATCATTTCAAACAAAATGTATTCAAACAAACTATTCACCAATAGCTGGATGAACCAGACAGTCCCAAGAAATGTGTGCTCAACTTGATTTAAATCCATCACACAGAAAGGTATCTCTGTCACAGATTGTGAGAGAGCTTTCATAAACTCAAGTCAAATACTGAGATTCATAACTCATACAAAATAACAGGTGGATACGATTCAAGATCCACTTTAGGGTGTTGCATGATCCAGTGATCAAATTTAGAGATCTAGGCTCATCCAATGCAATATGAGCGCGCTTTGACCTTAATAAGACCTATATTGCAATTAAAAACAAAGAAGTACAATCATCTCCAGATCAATGTTGAAGGTAGAAACACTAGTGCTATGACCATCAGAAATCTTAAGTTGAAGTTAAGAGTACATAAGAGATAGAATCATTGGAAGTTGCATGCTGAAGTTATGAGCTTCAGGAAATGACCACTAGTAAAGTTCAACTGACACTATATCATGACCAAAGCACTGACATAGTACTCTATGTGATCTAAGACTATAGACTATTTACTTTGTCAAAATGTCTTAATAGTCTCAAAAGACTGTTCTATGCATTGTATGCAAATATCAGAAAAAAAATACATAAAGAAATATTTCGATTTGAACCCCCGAATAAACAGATTTTTTGATGACATGAGGGCATAGAATTTAAGTCACAAAGTATCTTGCAATGTATATATACCATGCAATGAATAACAGATAATCTACATTACAGAAGTGATATTATTTACGATGTATTTGTTTGTGTTACGCTTTGCTACTGTATGTAAAAAAGTACTATAGGTCTATGGTCTTCTCAGTACAGTAAATAGGATTGCAGATTGAACACCTACAGCATGCAACGTCTTAAAGGTAGACTGGTCTTATTCAAATAGGCTGCAGCTCAGATCAGACATGTGGTTTACATAAAATAATTAGATTTGGAAAGAAATAAATGGTCTTTTTAGAGTTCTCAAGTCTTGGTATAACAGAATAGTGACTGCCTCTACACCTGCTTTCTTTGTCAAAATATATCAATGTCTGAAACTGCTTGTAAGGCCACCCCAATTTTATTTTTTGTTTTACGGATCCGCCTGTCATATTTTTTCAATAATAAGGAAAAAAATATTCATTAATTTTCCCCACTCAAAAAATAAAATCATGTTTTTATTGACCCAAAATGTAAACTTACAAGAAAATGTTCTTTTAGATTGTTTTTTGCCCAATATACACTTCATAAATTGCCAAAAGTAAAATTTGAATATTTAGAAGGAATATAACCTTGACTGGTGATTTTATTTTTATTTTTTTTCCTCTCCTGCCTTTAGGTTTTCTGAGGACAAAAATCCGTAAAACAAGAAATACAAATGGTGTGGCCTAACATGTACTCACAATCGAGCAAGTAAGTATGAAGCCTTCATATCAACATGGCAATGTACTTCTTACACTACCTGATCAACATTATCTTAACTGAAGCCATATAACATTCTCTAAAAATTCTTTTAATGTGAACATTTCACAAACACTTTCTTTTGTCAAAATGATTCACAACTAATGTCATCCCAATGCAATTGAGAAATATACAATATGTGTCAATCCTAGTACATCTATATGGCAGCAGGGCTCTGAATCACCTGCACCCATCTTTATTGCTAAACTGAGACCTTCTATTCCCAAGTCTTACCAGTTTTATACATCTGACACTTGAAATGGATGTACATAAATATACTTCTTAACAGTCTTCTTGAATTATCTTATCTTGGTTTGGACAACAAATTCCATATGAACATGATAAATTTATACAAAGACAAGCTGGCATAACACCCATCAGTAATATATACTCAAAGGCAAATTAACAGATCATATAAAATTAATGACTATTGATGACTGTCAATAATCACACTGCACACTTTACACACTGGTCAGTCTTC